CACTGAAATGCGGTAGCAGGAAGGTCCCCTCTCCTCAGGACAGGTGGGTCATCACAGGCTTCTGCAAGGCACAAGGAGAAACCTCATCCCACCACCGTGTCCACGCCACCCTGAGCCCACCCAGCATGCTCCTTGTCCCTTCTTGCTGCCACTGCACGGAGTCCCTACCCCATCCCATGGACCACGCAGGCAGCGGGAATTCACAGATGTTCATCTTTTCTGGGGTTTGTGATGTCTCAGACCTCAGAGGGCAGTGCCCAGGCGTTCCTGCCCTCACCAGGCAGCATGGTGGGACCAAAGCTGGGAGCTGAGGGCTCCTTCAGCTTGAGGAGAAAGTGGGGAAGGACAGGTCCCAGTGGGAGCCAGGCCTGCAGCCCTCCATGGGGCTGGGTCCGTACCGCAAAGAGCCGCTCCACCCTCCTGTTCTTCCCGTTGGGGTTCCTCTGCGTCAGCGAGCCACGGTACACGGAGTTGCGGTCAAAGGAGTCATCAAAACCTGTAGTGAGGGAAGAGAGATGGGCAGCAGGCCCTCACCCACCTCACCTGAGGTTTCAGCAACCCAGCAAGTCCCTTGGGATTTACTGATTCCCCAGTTGCTGAGGGTTTGGATGCATCCGGGCTCTTCCCTCTCCGGGAGGGTGATGGGAAGCACTTTGAGGGCAGGAACAAGGAGATAGGAGTTGCTGCTACTCAGCTTTCCAGAGCACTGCGTGAGCTGGGTCAGCCTGGCAGGGCCTGTGCTCTGGAGAGCTCCATGGGACAACAAAACCCCAGCCTGGGAGAAGGTCTTGCTGCCCCAGCCTATGAGACTTTCCTGACCTGTTAATTCATCTTCTCTCCTCTGCCAACAACTTCCACCAGCTGCACCTTTCAGGCCCAACTTGCCAAGTTGCTGACCTGCCAGGCAGGCAGGAGACCAAATCACCCCTTGGCCAGCCCAGGCATGGGGGATTAGCTCTGCCTGGTGATGTCTGTCCCTTCTGCACATCCCTCTATCTCCTCACTGACGTGTCCCACAGGCTGCCTTTATCTGCCTGCCCTTCGCAGGAAGGAGAGCAGATGACTCCTCCTCAGGGTGAGGACAAGGGACCTTTCCACCTACCGGCCCCAGCCTGGTGGAAAGCACTGTTAATTGTCTGTGTGAATGGGGGAAATGCTGTTCTACCTCTGCATTAAATGATCTTTCCCCTCTTCCCTGCCTTCATCTCCCATTATCTGGAAGGAGAGCCACTCTTTTGGCCTTTAAGCTTGTGAGGAGAGATAAGGGAGAAATAGAAAAGTAATGTCCTAATGGGTCTCACTGATATTGGCTAGGATGAAACATTTCCAGTGACTGTCCCCCTGCCACACGAGCTGCTGTGCCAAGTTTCAGATCACCACTTGCTCTGAAGCTCTCCTGAGCTGCTGTTTGTCCAGAGCTGGGCCCTGGAGGGCTTCTTGCTCCCCAGCAAAGACTGGTGGCTGAGTCAGGTGTGCAGCAGGGTCAAGATTCACAAGTCATGGAATGGTTGGTGTTGAAAGGAACTTGAAATCCCCCCCTTGTTCCAGCCACCTGCCATGGGCAGGGACACCAGAGCAGCTTGCTCCAAGCCACATCCAGCCTGGCCTGGAACACTTCCAGGGATGGGGATGCCATCCAGGGAAGGATACCTTCCCCAGGATGGCCAAGCAAGGGAGAAATTGCTGTCAGAAGAGAGGATGGGCTTAGGTGAGGCTTTTGAGGGCTAGCAGCCCATGATGACAGGATGAAGGCACACAGGTGTCTCCCTGGACTCTGGGGGGGCTGCAGAGAAGTCCTGGCTCTTGGAGGATCAGCAGAGAGCCTGATCTCTGCTCTCCCATCACTGTTCCAAATCCTGCAAGCTGCTGCCTCCCTCCCCAGTTACCCACCACAGGTTTTCCCTGTGGCTGTCCCACCAGCAGGCTGTGGGCACAGGGAATGGGAATCCGCTGCAGACACTCAGCTGGATGCAGAGAGAGGATCAGCACCCCCCAAAGCCCAGCCCAGCCCCACACAGGTGCCCATCTCCCATGGGCAGGGCTGTGGTCCTTACTGGTGATTTCCAGGGGACTGTTGAACTTCCTCCTGAACCTCTGCAGTCCGGGCATTGCCTGCAAGAGAAGGGGAGCAGCCTGCTGTGGGGAAGGGATGGGAGGGCAGAGGTCCCTCCTGAGGCTTTGATGCAGCCCCCTGGAGGCCCTGGTTATGTCCAGGATTAATGCTGTTTACTCACAGCCTGTGAATAAACACATACTCACTTTAATGTCATCCAAAGACTCCCCAGGGCTGCTGCTGGCAGGACCAGGAGAATGGAGACGGGCAGCCTGTGGACAGAGGAAGGCAGAGGTGTCTCTGGGGGTGCAAGAGGAGGCAGACAGCTCAGCCTGCCACGGCAGAGCACCAGGCAGCAGGGGGAGAGCTGGGAATGGCTCAACCAGCCAGGCAGCCCTGCCCAGCACCCAGAGACAGCAGCTACAGCTCAGGGGAGCACGTAAATCACAGCCCCCACCTTCCATGCTCACCTGCACACTCTTCTTCTTCTTTGCCTTTTCCACAGACTTCACTGTCAGCCCTGCAGCAGACAGAGCTGCAATTCGGGATTCAATATCAGATATCTTTAGAAGGAGGAGAAAAGACATACAGATGGTGGTTGGAGGATCCATCAGTGGCTTTGATCGCCATCACTGGCTGGGCAAAGCCTCTGTCAGAGTCAGGCCCTCACCTCACTCTCTGCCTGTTGCACCTGAGCAGCTGCCAGGGCCACTTTGTCCTCCAGCTCCGACAGCTCCGAGTCAGTAGTGCCGCTGTGCTGAGCCCCTTCCTCAAGCTCCTTCAGGGTCTTCTCAAGCTGGTAGGTCTTTCCAGCAGTCAGGTACACCTGAAATACAACAAAGGGAAAAATTGCATTGAAGAATTAACCTTCCTGGAGTTCTCCTCTCCTGGTGTGATGGCAGCCCCAGACGCAGCAGCTCCTGCCACTCTTTTGACTGCCTTCTTGCCTTGCAGCACAGACAGTACCAGTCAGCTCTGACACGGCTTTTCATCTCATTTTCTCCCTTCCCTGGGCTTTTTGAGAGCAATTACTGACAGTGTGAAGTGGTAAGAGACTCAGTGGGAGCACAGGAAGGACCAAAACTCAGTGACCTGCTCGAGAAGCAGCAGCACTTTGTGCTGTGTGCTCAGAGCGAGAGCAGGTACCTGCAAACCGGCTCAGGCTGCTGTGTCCTGTGAGGGCAGAGCTGGGAAGGAGACAAACTGACTTTCCAAACCTGCTCAGTCTGTTTTACAGGTGTTTGTGTTGCTGGGAGCAGGGTCAGCCTGCATCATCCTCCCTTTGCTGCCTAGAGAAAGAAGAGTAAAAGGATATATCCCAAAAAAGCCCTCTGGTTTTACTGCTGTTTGTCTCCTCCCAGGTTACTAAAGGGACACAGGTCCAAACAAGGCAGCTCAGGACACATTAACACATCAGTAGGCAATCACATCAGATTATCAGACGTGGCCACTGTTCTGCTGACTGATCCCAAAATCTCAGTGCTGCTACTGCACTTGCTGCTCCTCCAGCCCTCTCAGCTTTCCCTGGGCTGGGCATTGTGCAGAACTGCCTGGCAGGAGCCCTCTGCATGCACTGAACTGCAGTTCATCCACCCAAATCACAGCACCACACTCCCAGATGTCCCACCCATCCCAGTGCAAGTCCTAAGGCCATGCACCACCCAACCTGAGTCACAGGGATTTGCTGCTGGCCCACCAGACTCTCCCAGTGTCCTCCAAGGTGGGTGGCATGCCTTGGAGAGGAGAACAGAGCAGCCAGCCAGCTGTGACTCAGCCAGGATCCCTGAGGGAGTGGCAGGATGGCACACATCTCCCAGGGCCATTGTCTACCCACCTTTGTCCTGAGCTGACAGCAGCAGCAGCACTAAGGGCAAAGTTCACATCCTCCCCAGCCTTATTCCCTCTCTTGAGAGAGGGTGAACCCCAAAACCTGCATGCATCCAGCCCTCTTCCCCTGGGATGCTGCATTTTGCCAGAAAGCATCCAGGTGCTGCAGCTCCCTGCTTTTACTTATAAGCTTTCCCCAGTGAGAGATTTAGGAGATTTTAGGAGATTTTAGTGAGAGATTTTAGGACACAGAGTGTCCTAAAACCCCGCTCTCCATCACAGGACGTTCCCTACAGCAAAACCCGACCACCCAGGTGGAGATCCAGCTCTTCTTTGAACTGTTTCCTTGGAGCTTGGTATAGGGCACTGTGGATGCAAACCATCTCCACAGGGAATCAATTCCTATGGGTTCAGAGTGGCTAAAAAAGCTGTCAGTGCTCCAGGGTCACACAAACCTTGCAGGGGGATTATGCTCTAGCTGTGAACTTGTCACCCACACGGGCCCATCAGCCCCAGGCACGAGCAGCCTTAGTGAAGAGGTGGGTCATGATGAAACTTGATGAAACACAGTGCTGGGGAGGAGCTGAAGGGAATGGGACACAAGTGTTGCTGGAGCAAGGACTGCTGAAGTCCAGCAAAGTGATGCTACAGCAAGGTGAGGACCACACTTATCACCCAGAGGACCAGGAACCAAGGAAAGGAAAGCCACAAGACAGAGCATCTGCTTTTGCTATTGTTCCATCCTCTAAGACCAGACTTTTTAATCCCTCTGCTGACCATCCTTTCAGTGCTGACCTACCCACTAACATGAAATTTTGGGGGGGGGGTATTCCTTTGCATTCCCACCCCCCGCTGCCCAAAACTCCGGGGAGCCTTACATTTTCCTCAAGCTCCCGGTACACTTCGGCCACCTCTTTCCCATCTGCCAGGCCTGGAAGCTGCCCCGCAGGGAGGGCACAGCCCTGGCTCTCTCCGTGCAGGGACTCCCACACCGCTTCCTCCGTGGCGTTTATGGCTCTCAGCACTTTGGCCGTGATCTCACTCAGAGCCTGAGCCGACGACCTCTGCGAGAGCCAAAGCGGAGGGAGGGAGGGAGGGAGGGGGGGGAAAAATGTGGGTGTTATTTTAATGTGGTGTATAAAACAACACAAGCCAGGGGTTGAGAGGACCTCCAGGAGCTGTGGAAAGAGGGAGGAGTGGTAATTAACAGGCTTACTCTGCTCCTGAAGGGCTCTCCACCAGACGGATGCGTGGCTACGGCACAGCTTTGATCTCAGCTCGTGCTTTCTGCAGGGCGGCTGGGACAAAAGAAGTCACCTCAAAAGGCTTGGAAAGGAGCTTATGGAGGGATGTTTCGCTCACTGGAAGCACCTGGCCACCTGAGGGCCACTCGGTTAGGCAGCAGTTAAGATCTAATTGCAGCATATTGCTTTACACCTCAGTGGGCCTGAGCAGGGATGCAAACAACTCCTTGAGTTTGTGGCAAAAGAATAAAAACAACCAGACCCCATAAAATGATTGTATTGCCACAGTGCCAGAGCTTGGGGCTAACGTCCCCTTTTCCCACCCCAAGGAGCACGGATGGCAATAATGCCCCTAAGTGCTGCCCTTGGCTTGATGAGGTGCTAAACACATGTAAAAATGAGCCCAAGAAGCTCATCATCTCTCTCCCAGCTGATAATCCCCTAGAAACCAAGGAGATGGGGGTGACATATGTGCTGGTTGTGTTTACAGCTGCATGTATTTCCAGGCAAGCTGTCCAACAGAGAACCAGCTAAATCAGTCCAGATGATATTTTTATCATTTTATGGTGCCTTCATGGTACAGCAGATTTTTTTCACATTTTCCATTAGGTTTGTGTGCTTCCATCACAGTGCTCCCCCGGTTAGAAGATTTCCTCTTGACTGGAGGAACCTCATATCAAAAATCCCCCAGAATCACACAAAATCCAAACCTGGATCTGTTGTAAGTATAAGGAAAGTTGCTGTTAAACATCATCCACGCTGACAGCCTTCAACCAAGGCTGGTCCAACTACTGCAGACATTTCTATCTCAATACTCCTCCCTGCTTCATAGCAGGGCTTGGGGCAAAAGAAAGCAGCAAATCTGGAGGATGCAGTCCTCATTTCATAAGAAACCAGAATCTTACACTGATACCACACAAACAGTCCAGGGTCTGAGCCTCTGTCTGCTGCAGTTCAGCAGCTCACACAGAAACTAAGTCACCTTGGCTCGGTGACTTACCACTTATCTGCACTTAATTAGAAATGGTTGTTAAGACGACACAGATTTTTCAGTCTGTGTGAAGTCTGGCTGCAGCAATCATCTGAAAGCAGCTTTCAGGAAAAAGGAGGCAGTAAAGGATGCTGTGGGTAAGGAGGTGCTGCTGCTCCAGTGGCAATGAGAGCACAGCACATGGGACCCAACCCCACCAGGTTTTGTGTTGTGAGGCTGAGGAACAAATGCACAAAATGCACATTAAAACAAGGCTTCATGGCAACATGGAAGTCACCACAACCTTGGATGAATGGAGCTTTGCAGGACAGGAGAGGGAGGGGCAGCGTGGTGCCCGCTTCCTTCCTGTGCCAGCAGTGGATGTGTCGGAGCAAATACACACATCCCCCTTCCAGAGCCAAGGCAGGAGGGAGGGGATGGACAGAGCAGCCATCAGAGACCCAACAGGGAATGCTGGCCTTTCCATCCATGCTAGTGGATCACCTTGGAGCCTCTGCACAACTGGGGACACGCTGCAGAGGTGCTGTGATCTCCTCTCCCTGACCCCTGTCCCCACAGGTCACCCACCACTGAGTAGGGACAGGAGTCAGCACAGAGCTGGAAAGGCAAGAGATGCTGATCTAGCAGAGTGGAAGTGGGATCAGGGGTTTAGGGACTCAGGAGTTTAGGGACACACTGACAGGCGTGGAAAAGACATTTCAGGCTGTAGCAGGTGCCTGAGAAAGGCTGCTAATACTAAATCATCACCAAGCTCTTCTCCCAGCCCAGGACTCTTCTCCATAGTGACTTCCAGATCCTGGGACAACTCCTCTAAGGTGATGTGGAGGCTGTGTACCTCTCCATGACAGGCAATAGCCTGCAAGAACTCCCAGAGGCTTTAGCTTTGACTCTTGGGTGAGACTGGGAGAGCCTACAAGGAGAAATGTCCCGATCTAACACTCTGGGACTTCCCTATCCCTTGACATTGCTAAAGCAGACTCAGACACAGCCCTGGTGGAGGTGTGGGACAGAAGAAGAGTCACATTGTCATGGTGTAATACCATAAACCACTGAAAGCAGAAGGAATCATGGATGTAGCCTCGAATGATGTGGGTGGCAGGGCACAGATTACCTTTCGAACATCCCTGGCCACGTCATCACCAGAGGAAGTCACCTCTGATTTCTTTGCTCTCTTCTCTTCTTCACACTTCTCCTCATCAGAAGAAACTTCTTTATCACTGATGTTGCTGGCTAACTCCTCCAGCTTCCTCTTCAAGTCCTCCTCCTCGGCATCAGGATCAGTGTGGGACTCTGGGGCTGGGGACTGGAGGAGCAGAAGAAAGGAGAGGTCTGAGAGCCCCTGTGGTGGACAACAGGGCATGCCTGGCTCCAGACACACCAAGCAGAGGAGCTCAAGTGACCACAGAGGGACTTTCAAACCACCCCAGGGAGCAGCAGAGCCCAGCAAGCTGTGCTCCAGCTCCTCACTGAGGAACACAAACCCTTGACCTAAAGAACCTCAGTTCCTATTTCCCCCACACACAGAACTTCCTTGGTTCTCTTGGTGGAAAATTGCCTTTCCCCCACCCTGAAAAAGGTGGGCATGAGGAATCTGGGACCAAAAATCACCACATTTTCATTAGGAACCATGGCATGGCTGGTGGCTCTGAGGGCAGAGATCACAGTAACCAGAAATAAAAGTCCACCAGGGAGAGGGAAGCAGCCATGGGAACTGCCACTCCCTGAGGTAACTTTTGGAACCTCTGGGTAATCTCATTTGGGATGAGAAACCACACAGCAAATTTCCCTGTAGGACAGAGGGCACATTGCCACCCACCCCCGTTGTTAGGTGCAATTCATGGTAGCTGGAGAAGAATTCTATTAAACTCCCAGGCGCTGGAAGAGATAAGAGATCTCCAGAAGTTCCTGAACTTGCTGACCCCTGCATTAAGATGGGAATACAATTACCTGCGTCATACCTGGTGGGGTTTTGTCTGAGCTGTTTTTAACAGCCTCCAACAGCAGCATCTGCAGCAGGCAATCTTTTCCTCAGGCAACCTATTCCAGGGCCCTGCTATCCTTTCTGCTGGAAAGCTTTGCTTCATAGTTAACCTCAGCCTGTCCCACAGCTGTTTAGACCCACTGCCTGTGCTCTGATTTGCCCTGGATACGGGAATAAAGTGTGGGAACCTGACACTGTGAAAACCTCTTACTCCTTTGGTCAGGATTACTCATGGAAACCCTGAATGGTTAAAATCGTGGCCATCCTCCACTGCAAATTTTAGAAAAAAAATGGAGAAATTGCATTGTTTCATCCATGCCTGGGGGCCTTGCCTGTAATTATCACCATCCATTCTACTGAGCCATCAGCTGCCAGAGTGGTGATGGGTTTGCATGAAGGAAAAGAGTGCATAGTCCACAATTAGAAACCCAAAAATCAATGTTAAGCGGTGTAAGTATTCACAGGTTCTAAACTGTTGCTCAGATTTAACTTAATTTAACTGTTTTCTTCCAAGTTTTATGGCATGGTAAGATGAGGACAGCTCAGAAGAGATACAGAAATGGTTCTTGACTCAGCTCTCACAGTCACAATAACCAGGTGCCTTCCTCATAGGTACAAACTGAGTGTCCCACAATTTGAAATGAGCTGTCACAGCTCTGCAGATACAGACACCACCTAACAAAATTCCTGCAATTAGCACTTGATGAAGTATCAGCCTGAAACTAAATTTTCCTTGTGCAGAGGGGACAAGGAAGGCACTGGTTTGCACAGGGTCTAAAAGGGTTAAATTTCCTGCTGTTTCTGTCCTGCCATGCAATGTTTTCTAAGACACTCCATCACCTGGAACTGGAGAACAGCCTCCAAGGCCAAAACAGAGGAGTGAACTCAAACATCCCAGGTCATTGTGGCACTTAGGGACAGGGTTTAGTGAAGGACTTGGCAGTGGTAGGTGAATGGTTGGACTCAGTGATCTCAGAGGTCTCTTCCAACCTCAATATTTCTATAATTTTGTCCATCCCTACAATGCTGGCTGCTTCAGAGAAGGCTCTCCAGTGGCCAGGAGAAGGGACCAGCACAGCCCACACTCCATCCCTGCAGGATTCCTGCCCAGTTACCTCGTCAGAGCGTGCCAGGATTTTTTCCTCCAAGCGGTTCAGCACGCGTTCGATTGCGGACATGCGAGTGTTGAGCTCATGGATCTACAGGAAAGGGGAGAGAGAGGGAAAAGGAGGAGAGAACAGACCAGCCACCACTGCCAGGACAGTGAGGAAACTGCAACCAGCAGAGGAAAGCAAGCAGCAGGACACTGCCACCGTGGGCAGAGTTAAATGACATTAAAAAAAATAATATTTTTAAAGTAATGTCTTAAAAATGCCAGTAAACTCCACGAGGTGCTTAGGCAGAGCAACCTCAGATCTGGAAAACTCCAAGCAACGCTGAGCCCCCAGCACAAGACAATTCCCACCAAAGCACCTGGAGCTTTGATGCAGTGAATGTAAAATCCCATCACCAATAAAAGCACCAGCCTGTAATAAAGCCACCCATCTTGTCATCATTCCCATGCTGCCCCAAATTCAAGTCAAGATCCATTTTCACTTCCTACTAACATGTTTTTCAAGCTGTAACCATCCCATCACACGCCTGCCAACACAGTTGTGGAGAGGAAGAGGGAAGTGGGCAAGAATTCCCCATGAAAAAATCCAAGTAGAAAAACCAAACCTGAAAGTTTTCCCCACCACTTTGAATTTTTCTGACTTCTCTGTGCACTGATTTACCCAGATACTTGCCCTTCCCTTCTCTTCTCCCTCACTCTTCTGACTAAAAATGGGGAGTGGAGAGAAGGGCAGAGAAATTAAAGGCAGACAGAGTCCTGAAAAGTCAAAGAGAAGTTGCTTCCTGTGCTCAAGAACCAAGACAAACCTTTGTGGTGAGGGTGGATCTGGATTAGACATCAGGAAGAAATTCTTCCCTTTGAGGGTGCTGAGGCCCTGGCACAGGCTGTCCGGAGAAACTGTGGCTCCTCCATCCCTGGAAGTGTCCAAGGCCAGGCTGGACAGGGCTTGGAGCAGCCTGGGATAGTGGAAGGTGCCTCTGCCCATGGCAGGGGGGTGGAATGAGATATTTTTCAGATCCATTTAAACCAAAACATGTCTATGATCTACAATCACTGAAAACATTAAAGGAAGCTTTTTTTTTTCCCCCTTTAGAAACTGAAGTTTTCTTCCTTTGAATAAAAAAAAACCAACTAAGTCCCTCTCCTTTGATCCAGACAAATAAAACATAAATGATGATAAATATTTCCTGTTTTATGACACTACCAGTGCATCACTGCTGTTCTGAGTGGCTTCTGCCCATTCAAAGGGGAGCAAGCAGCAAAAGCAGTTAGCAAAGCTGGTAACAAAGAGATGTGAGGGGTGGGCTTTGTTTTTGTAACAATTTCCATCCTCTCAGCCTTTGTGCTTGCCAGCATTTGATGAATTAGACCCTCAAAACAGCCAGGGATGATTGCATCTACTTAAGGGAAGATGAACATAAAAACCTGGCACTGTGGAGAGCAGAGCTGTCATTACCACCCCAAACTGAAAGCATCTCCAAGCAGCATTAAACCCACTGGCATGAAGCACTTCAGTCCATTGCTAAGTGGTTTTTCAGTCCTATTTAAGCCTCTGATGGCCCTTCAGCCCCAGAGATGGTGACAAACCAGGAGTCACCACTGCCCTATCTGCATGAGGAAGAGGTTGGGGGAGATCAGAGCCTAAAGCATGGGCTGCTGTTGATATTGATGGATATCTACCAGGATAGGAGCTGAAAAGCTTAATTCTCCTTCCCAGTCAAGGCTGGCTTTAATGCAGGGTGGGCACATGTCCATCAGGGACTGGGTCACCCTGCTCCTCTCTCAGTGTGACAAAGGCTGGCAAACAGTGCTCTGAATTGAAACATTTAAGGGGAATAAACTTAAAGCACAGCCCATAACATAAAGTAGGGGAAACTACTCATTGCTGCTGAAGGAGGGAGGACAGGTTACTCTACACAAGCCTCTAACAGAATATTTATGTAAAGAAGAGGAGCCAGACAGCATCAAAGCTTTGGGAATCCAGAACCCTTGAGGTACAGCAGGATGGCTTCTGGGGAGTAACTTGGTAAATTGGAGCTATTCCTTGTGGCTTAGTCCTGTTCCTACCTGACTTTTAAAGACCTAAAGGCAAAGACCCACACAGTTACTAATTCAGGGCTTCTATTTGTGTCTCATCAAGTTTAAGTGCTTTTTCAAACTGAGTTTTTCTTTTTTTTAAGTTTTGTTCTTGAATCTTCAGCTCCTGGAGTCACAGGACCAGGGAAAAGCCCCTGCTGCAGTTACTGGAGAAGTTTCTTGTGTTTGGGAGCGAACACTGTATCCTCTTCAGAACTAAAGCAAAAGTGGTTTTCAAATAACCATATTTTGACAGACTTGCCCCCTAAGGTAATTTTAGGAGAAGAGAGTTTTCACCTGTGTGGTCAAAGAGCTGAGTTCTCCACCTCTTGAAACCTTCAGATGCCAACGAGGTGTCTGCCAGGACCACACTGCATGTGAAGCCAGGCTTAATATGGGGTTAACACATAAAGCCAGGCTTAATACAGGGTTAAGAAACGTGATTCTACATCCTGCACCAGAGCTGGGTGAGGAGCAGGCTGGGTGGGAGGAAGGCTTCTGTCTGTAAACACATCAGCAGCACAAAGGGCAGGGAGGATGGGGAGTTATTTAAGCTAATGAACAACTCTGCCAGGAGAGCAAATGGGGGTAAAGTGGGAGTTAGAAGATGCCTCGTAACCATTAGGGTGATGAGGCTCCACACCAGCCTTCCTCCAGATGTGAGGGAGCAAACCACAGCCTGACGTGGGAGGTTGCCCAGCTCCTGCAGGAAGTCGTGGGAGGCGTTGGTAGGAATTTGGCCCCATTTCCCCACTGCAAAGCATGGTGCACATTTCATGCCTAACACAGCGTGGCCTCATTAAGGACACCCAGTCCAGGGTTCTCCCATTTACTGCTGGCTGAGGAAGGAATGGCATTTACTAATTAAAAGATATGCCTACAGAAGTAAGTGGCAAAGGGAAGCTTTCTCTACCCAGGCACACAAAGTGTGGTGCCAAGGGATGGTTGTGGTCACAGATCTCACACTGATTACCCAAAGAGGGGTCCAGGACATGCAAAATTACCAGCTATGATACTGGAAACTGATTCTTCCCCTGTACCTGTGGCCAAATACCACCCTGCATTTTGCTGCTCATGGAATCTGAGGAACCAGATCAGCTTTACCATCCTCACCACCCCCCACCGGCAAAGGCAGCACCAGGAACAGCAGGTCCTTGCCTGAGAATTAAAACACAAGCTCAGACTCTGTTTGACACCTTTTTTTTTAAGCTGTTCCCCCCATTACCATCACTCAGGAGAGGTACATGACAGTTCATCCTGACCCAGTCCTACCGAGGCAGGAACACACTGCAAAGGAAGAGAAGGATCTCGGGGCTTATTAAATATCCATCTCCAGACCTCCACCTGGTTCTGGCACATTCAATTTAAGAAAGCCTTTCTGGAAACACAAGAACCCACAAGTAACTCAGATTACTAAGGACAAGCTGGAAAACGAGCTGCAACAAAGGCAGGTTTGTTGTTGTGGTGGCAGCATGGGCAGAGGGAAGCACCAGCCAGTGCCCGGTTTTCTTTTTGCTGTGACAGGAAAAGCTCACCCCGGTTGGCCACTGCTGCTTCTCTTCTCCTCTGAACCACCCTGCACCTCAGAAGCACCAAGAAGGACACGGGCCCAGTGTCAGCAGGGGCTGTTTGATACCTGGTTTGAGGAGTGGCTGATGTTCTCCTGGGAGGAGGCTCTGCTGCGGCGTTTCACGTGGTGGGCTGGGTAGGTCAGGAGCTGGGCTCCCTTCACATCCTCGTCGGAGGTGTCCATATCTGCCGAGTACCGAGCCCGGGGCGGCTCCTTCCGGGGGATGCCTTTGGGCAGAGAAAGGTCCAAGGCATTCACACCCCTGAGCTCCTTCCCAGACACTGGTCCCATCCTTAAGGCAGGCAAATAATGAGGCATTTCCCTGGATCAGACTTCCTACCCTTTGGCAGAAGGTGCTTCTGCAGGGCAGGCCAAGTTTAAGGATGGACCAGGCTGCAGCTCCACACGCTGTTCCCACACAGCACCAAGCACAGCAGGGTCCCACACAGGGCACCAGGAGCACCGTCCTTGCTGTTATGCCCTGAACAACCAGGCCTCTCACAAAAAAAGGCTACAGCATTCCCAATTTTGTGGGAGCCCAGGTTTGGATGCTGCCCTCTGTGCACTGCTCGGGTGCTGGAAGATGTTTAGGCTCAGGCTAGAGAGGTACCAGCCTAGGATGGAGCATTTTCCAAGAGTGGAAAATCTCCTGTGTAAAGGAGAATTTCAAATGAGACAAAGACAATGAGAGAAAACTGAACTAACATGCCAGGGGACCTTGCTGCTGTGATGCTCCAGCATGACCTGGAATGGAAATTTAAACAGCCATGTTAAGGTCTACCCAGTATTCCCAAATGTCCTGAAGATACAGCCAGGCCACTGGAGACACAGGAGGACATATTCTACATTTGCATATGCACGAGCCCATATCCAACCCTCCTGGCTCTGCCATCACTGCAGGCAAAGCAGAGGTTGTAAAAGGCAAATTCTGCCTCTTAGGGGGTATTTATAGACTCACAAATTCACAGATCATTTAGCCCACCCGTGCACCCTGCCCAGCTACAAGGATCCCACTTAGCAATCTCCAATTCCTGCCTCCAGGTCTAGTCCAAGCCCCCTAAAAACTCAAAGCTTTCTGCAGCCACAACATCCTTTACTGAGGAGATGAACTCCTCTGCCTGCAGCAGGAAACACATCCCATTGTTTCTAGCAGTGTTCATTTGATTATATCTAGTTTCTACCCTGGAAATCAGCAGGTATGAAAGGGATGGACACCTTAGGAACAACCCCTTTGGCTTTGCTGGGAACAAGATTGGCCCTTTTACAACCAAGTAACATCAGCAAGATTCTCCCCTAATAAAAATCCCTTTTGCAGACGGATAAATTGTGTTGACCCACAAGCCGCTTAGTGGCTTTGAGGTTGTTCAGAATAAAACCCAAAGATGTTTTCCCTTTGGTCCAACACTTGCAGCCACTTGTCCCGAGAGGATACAAGAGGAACCTGGGCAAGGACACCTACCAGGCTTTGGGTTTCTTTCCAGGCTCCTCCTCCCTGCATTGACAGTGAGCCGAACTTCTGTGCTGAAGTGCTGCTCTGGAGCGCTCACCCCTGGCTCCTGCAGGACGTGGTGGAACACCAGGTCTGCATCCGTGATCCTGGACTCCTGGGAGCCATCTTCAGCTGAGTTGGGGAAATCTGGGAAGGACTGAGAGTTGAGGATGCTGCTGAGCAGCTGCCCATGGAGATTTCACTTGTGTGACCCCACCTGTAGTGCTGCCTCCAGCTCAGGGACCCCCAAAGTAAGAACAAAGTGGAGCTGTGGCTACCCCTGGATGCCTGGAAGCGTCCAAGGCCAGGTTGGGCAGGGCTTGGAGCAACCTGGGATAGTGAAAGGAGTTGCAATGAGATTATTTCTACCCTCCAACCCAACTTGTTCTATGATTCTACAACTCCTTGTCTTTCCTGACCTTCACTAAGAGCTCCTCTCTTAATTCTTCAATATGTGCATGGATTGAAATTTTATAGTGCCAATTGTATTTATATAAAATATAAAAGTTCCTAAATAATCCCATTTAAAGATTTTGCCTGGCTGCTGAACCCTGAACAATACTTCCCGTCACTGCCAGGGGGCACTGGTAGTTTTTACAAGCAGATCCTTTTACAGAGATCCTTGAACCAGGCTGCAAAATCCTCTGATCTTTTAAAACACCATCCCCTTCTACTTATTCAAACAGCCACCACCTCAAATAATCTGTAATCCATAAATCCAGTTTGACAGAGGCCAGCCCTCACACTGAATTCTGCTGCAAAAAGAGGGGAAAAAGACAAACAAAAAGAGGGATCTAATTATTTCCCCCGCAAATTCTAATAATTTTGTGTGGAATTGTGCAGATTTATTTTTTTCAGTTGCTGTTACAGATCTCAGCACATCCTATTTCTACCCAAGGATAGAGTTTAATCAGAGCATTATTAAAAAGCAGGAGCTGTTTAATACTTTAAAAGTGCAATTTCACCAGGAAAGCCAAACAAGAGCAGCCCAAAAAGCTTGACCTGAAGCCTCTCAGGCTGGAAGACCTTCTGCCACAGCCATCTGTGCTCCTCCCCAGAGCTGGAAGGTGGGGTTGGTCAGCCCCTGGCCCTTGGTGGGACCACAAGGCACAGCTCACCGCTCTGCCTGGATCTCTCTGTGTCTTGCTCCTGGCCAGAAGCTCTGGATACTAAGGCACATCTAGTCTCCTGTTTAGAAGTAACCAGCATTCCTGCAGTTTTTGTCCTCGCAGTGTTCATCCCTCTGAGTGGCCCTCACTCACACTGTCTCTGTGGGATTCATCTCAACCTCACAAATGTCATGTGCCTCATGGAGCTGTGGCCAGCTGCACCCCAGTGCCACCACACAGCAAACCCAGCCCCCAAACTGGATGGGAACATGGGAGAAGAACCTGATTTCATTTAATCCCTTGAGCACCAAACCCTCTGGAATCCAGGGTGTGTCCCATAGCCTTGGGACAACACAAGAAAATGACTGTCTGCTGAGAGCAAGGAAATCTGCAGGGACACAGCCAGAGAACCTCTTGCTGTCTCAGCACTCATCCTCACTTGGATCAGATGTCCTGCTCCTGACTTGGCCTGAGGCAAAGGACTTTAGCTGGAAGAAGAGATTGCAAGCAGTGATGGGGATCAGGGACTGGCACTACTGCCTCCCAACACCAGCTGAAGGAGGTTCTGAGGCTGAAGGAGCAGTAGTAGCAAGTAAGGAGAAGGAGGAAGAAAGGAAAGGAACCCCTCAGGAGTCTCCCAGTACCTGGAAAGCATCCGGGCTGCTGGCTGCTGGAGAGAGCTGCACAGACTGGCGGCGAGACTGAGCAGAGTAATCCGAGTCCAGTTCGAAATCAAAGGGATGCACAGACAGCAGCCGCTTTGTCTTGCACATCTTTAGCATTGAAAGTGCAAGAAAGGAAAATTCAGTGTAAGACACAGTTGACCTTGAGGAAAGGGGGAGGGAGGATTTTTCTCTCCTTAGTTTGTCTGTGTTTGCTCAGCTTTCTGCAGAGAAAATTTGGACCTGATACTGTCTTGCTTGAAGAGAGCCAGGTACAGCATGTGCTTGGGCTAAAAGCAAGGAAAAGTGGGTTCCTGATTTCCACAGCCTCTGGCTCAGGACTGCTGCCATAAGCAGAGTGAGTATCTCTCTCCTGGTTTATAAAGGCACTCCAGGAAAGCTGAGCCAGGTTACAGCTCAGAGAGAGATCCAAGTGATGCTTTTGAGCCCTGAAACATGTCCCCATCCTCAGAGGAAGGGTGTTTCAGGCACATCCTTCTGAATATTTGTGAGGTCATTAGTAAAAAACCCCAAAGCAGGTGGGTTCTCATTATACAGCTGGGACTTTTATGTTAATTGGTGATGTCCATGGTGTTAGGAGTGTGTCTTTTTTCCAGAGCACAAGTATTTAATGATGTTACTGACATGGTTGTTTCTACACAAACTGGGAGAGAAGCTTATCTCAGAGAAGAAAAACAGAGGGAAAGGTCCAGCTTTGAAAGTGGCACAGAAAGCCACCACCACTGCCACTACCATCACCCAAGGCAGGCCAGGGACACTGAGTGAAGCAGCTCCAGAAGCAAAGACTTACTCTGCTGTAGCACTCTGCTTCAGCTCCACGAAGGACATTGTCTTCCTCATCGCTGTCATCCCCGGCGTCACAGCCGGCGAGCAGCTGGCACTCTCCTGGAGGGGACACAGGCAGCAGGTAAGTCCCACACCCTGCTGGTCACACCAGTGTACCTGCAGGCGAGGCCATGCTGCTAATATGGGGTGAAAAGGCCCAGATTAGAAGTACCTCCCCGATTTTTTTTTTTCTGCAGACACCCGCTTTTAGTACTTGATCTTGAAAAGGCTTGGCTGGCCTCTCATTGCTTCCCCTGCCAGATGTGCACCATCACAGATGTGGAAGTGAAGGGGCACCTTGCACCACGGAGAGCACCCTGAGATCCACCTGGGTGACTCCAGTGCTTGAAGGCTTGGGATTCTGATTCCTGATTCCCATCAGCCAGCTCTTCTATTTATCAATGACCCATTGCTTTGAGATAATGAGAGCTTGTAAACTTCAAGTTTGGCATTGAACTAAAAGTCCTGTTGTATCCAAATCTGCCCCTGGAGACCCCAGATGTACCCCAGTTCAGTCCATCTCCACTGCGGTGTAGGAATGTTTTCACTCATCGGACCACTCCAAATCTCTCCAGAAGTACCCACAGCTGGGGGGTTGAGAAGACAAAAAGACTTTGGAAACCTTGCTTGAACTGCAAGCTCCCTGCTGCAATCCCCTTTTTTTACTTACTGTTAATGTCTGGCAGGCTATAAACTCTGTCATGAAGACCTAAACAAAGAGAAAAATTGTGGTAATAAAGAATAATCATATTTTCTTCCTGTTCCTTGAGCAGAGAGCAATGGCTCTCTGCCATGGCTAACTGGAATTCTCATTCTCTAGCCATCACAAGAAACAATGGTTAAAAAGGCTCTTTAGAGAGAGCAAAACAGGCTCTTGGAGATGGGACTTGACTTTTAAAAATCAAAGAGCTGCTTGTCACTGCTTCCCCAGGCTGATGCAACATGCCTGGGAGCTGCAGGGGAAGGCACAGCCAACTGCAGATGGCCAGAGATACATCCCAGGAGGAGATTCTTGCTTGCTCGAGGGTCCAGCCAATTCACTAGTGTTAATGAAGTAATAAACAACAAAATCATTTCCCTTTGAAAAAGGCATCAGAATCTTAATTTAAAGCAGCCTAAGGCACTGTTACCCTCACGCTTGGTTGGGTTTTTGTGTGCTCTGATGCATTTTGGGTCCAAACAATGCATGGATTGTCTCTCAGTCCATTATTTTTTTTTCGCCTGCTATTTCTGCCATGAGTGGCCTGGCTGAAAGAGTGGCTGGAGCAGTTGAAGCAGGTCATGTCAATGGTATGTGTGCAAAATTTCCTGTGGCTCCTCAAGATGGGAATAAACTCCACGCTGTCTTCCAAAGGAAATAGGCCAAGAAGTAGGAGCTCTATGAATGACAACTAGGAGCTCGTTAGTAAATAACATTGTATTAACATCATCATATATTTATGCACTCTTGGACCAAAAATCAGAAATATGGAAGGTTCATGAAGCTCTGAAGGAAATAGTTATGGTTACAGGTAGCTCACTAATTTTGTCATAGTTTTTTTTATGCCAGGGATAATCAGTTTGGTTATAAAAATCATCAGGTCTTGGAGAAAAAAAAATGAGGGCTGGCTTTATGCTGCAGATTAAGCTAGGGTCAATTCCACGAGCTCTGTGATGAAAAGACCAAAAACAAAGACGAAAAAAAAAAAGAGCTGCAAATTTCCGTACTTACAAAGTGCAAGACGTGAGACTTTTAAAATTAAACATGAGGTATTAGGGAACTTTTTTTCATTGAAAGGGTGGTCAAGGAAGTTGTGGAACCACAACCCTTGGAAGTGTTCAAAAAACACATGGATCTGGCACCCAGGGATGTGGTTTGGTGGTGGTCTTGGCAGTACTGGGCTGGACTGGATGATCTAGAGGTGTTTTCCAGCTGTTATGATCTTACATTCTCCAATCTGTGGTAAAAACTTAAGACTTAACAGTAGAAAAGAACATCAAGAACATCTTTGTGTCTGAATGAGCAACCCTGAGCCTCTGCTTCCTCCCCGAGATGTTCTGAGCAGTCCCGGTACCCCACAACACTCAGAGCAGCATCGACCCTGCTGCTCCTCCCTCGGTGCACCCCAAGGCAGTGCAGCACAGATTCCCCACGTGCAGCAGTGGCCATTCCTCACCCAGAAACGCAGAGTTGAGCCCCTGGCCTGGCTGCAGCCTGCCATAGAGGGACTGCAGCACTTTGGCACTTCCAAACCTCTTGAAGCGGGACCGCACGTGCTCGTAGTACCACTCCAGGGAGCCGATCTTCACGATCCTGCCCAAAGAGAGGAGGTACACCCAGGTGAGCCACTCCAGCCAAGCTCGTGGTGAGCAGACCCTCACCCAAAAAACTGTGTCTTAACAAAAACACAGCATGCTTTCATCTAAAAAGATGCTGAGTTTGGGCAAGTCTTGTTGAGCCTCATCCCCAAGGCTCACATTGTCCCTCAGCCTCCCTCAAGCGCAGACCAGGGAGGAGTGGTGTTCCCAGGGGCTGATATGGGGACTGGAATTCTTTAACATATGTGTTGGTGACATGGAAAATGGGATTGAGTGTTCCCTCAGTTCACTGACACACCAAGCTGTCACATGCTGGAGGGAAGGAATAACACCCAGAGGGACCTTGACAGCCTTGAGAGGTGGAGCTGTGAGAAACTCTTGTGGTTCAACAAGGCCAAGCACAAGGTCCTGCCCCTGGGTTGAAGCAATCCTAAGCAAATAGACAGTCTGGGTGGAGAATGGATTTGGAACAGCTCTGAGGAGGACTTGAGGGTGCTGGAGGGTGAGAATGTTGACAAGAGCCAGAAATGTGCACTGGCACCCAGAAACTTCCTGGTGCCCTGGGCTGATCCCACAGTGTGAGCAGCAGGGGAGTGGGGGATTCTGTCCTTCTGCCCCACTCAGGTGAGACCCCACCTGCAGAGCTGCCTCCAGCCCTGGGGCCCCCAAAAAAATAAGATGTGGAGCTGCTGGAATGAGACCAGAGGAGGCCAGAAGGCTGCTCTGGGGACTGCAGCCCCTCTGCTCTGGAGGCAGGTTGGGAGAGCTAGAGGTGTTCTCCTGGAGAAGAGAAAGCTCTAGGGAGACCTCAGAGTCCTTCCCATACCTAAAGAGGCTCCAGGAGAGCTGTAGAGGGCCTGGAGACAAGGGCTTGGAGTGACAGGACCAGGGGGAATGGCTTCCCACTGCCATTAGTGAGAACAGGATTAGACAGGCTATAGGGAAGGAATTCTTCCCTGTGAAGGTGGGGAGGCCCTGGCCCAAGCCCCTAGCCAAGGGCAGCTGTGGCTGTCTCATCCCTGGAAGTGTTCAAGGCAAGGTTAGACAGGGCTTGGAGCCACCTGGGCGAGTGGAAGGGCGAGGGGGGTAGAACGAGATGGACTTTAAGGTGCCTTCCAGCCCAAACCATCCTGTGATTCCCGGAGGAGCGGTACCTGGAGAGGCGGCAGGGATCGCAGACCCAGCCCTGCTCCTTCTTGTTGTAGCGGCTGCAGTTCTTGCAGGTGTAGAAGTGGCAGTCCAGGCACTGGCGTTTGCTGTTCAGCAGGAACTTGAAGGGCTGCAGGCAGTGCACGCAGTGAGTGTCATTGAGGTGGGACTGACTCGTCAGGAACTCTCTCTTGCTGCTCTCCTGGTCGATCTTGCATTTCAGCTCCCTGTAGAAAACACCCCCAAAAGCAGAAATTTGAGTTTGTTATCGTCTCACTGCAAGCTCTCACGTGGCAAAGCCCATCACGCCACAATCATTTCAGGAACGATTTTCCAGGGAGCATTGCAAGTCTGCAGCTTGTGGAAACAGCTGTAGGGGAAATCTAATAAATAACATATCACGAGTTAAATAAGCTGACAACAAAGTGGGCTCTAGATTCAGGATGGGCAACTCGAATTTAATATTAGATTTAATTTAATATTAGAATCACAGAATATTCTGAGTTGGACAGGACCCACAAGAATAATTAAAAAAAAAAAAAAGTGATTGTGCCAAAACCTGTCCTGTTTGTTTCACAGGGTGTTGATCATTAACATCAGGAACCTCAGGAGAGTGGCTCTTCTCAAGCCCTGTGGCTGTATCCCAACCTGACACAATCTTCAAGCCTGGAGTCCTGCAGGGAATTAAAATCTTTCTGGAGTTCTTAGTTTTAAAAAAAAAAGGGGGGGTGGGGAGGAGGACCAGGAGAAGAGAGAAGAAAAGAAATCTGGGATTAAAAAGGATTAAGAGGGGTTTTAATATGATCTTCCAGTGCTAAAAAATCAGCAGAAAATTTTATTATGTGCAACAAGGTTCTGGCTGTTCAGATGATGCAGCAAGAGGAGATGCTTGTGACAATCCCATGACAGGGAAGCGCTTTCCAAGAGCACCTTCACCTGGCACTGCATCCCTGCAGGCTTCCTTCACTATCCAGACCTGGCTGCCAGAGCAGGTTCCCATGGGAAACAGTATCTGCATGAGGCTGAGGGACAGCTGAGATATCTGCCAAGCTGGTGGGGGCCCCCTGCACTGCCCAAAAGCTCTCTGTGTGCTGCCCGTGCCACGCACCACCTCAGGTATGTTTGCCTTTGGGGCCATGGCCAAGAGGAAAATGTTTGATTTGTAGGGAAGGTCCTAGAAAGTTGTCTTCTCTCTAGACAGGGTTAGGAAGCTGTTTTTTTCCAGAGCAGGAGTCAGGTTAAAACCCTCAAGCAGTCATGTCTAGGGGCTGCTTCAGGATCACAAAGTGGAGCACGAGGCACTGGTGATGCTCCCAGAGCTGGGCTGACGCCGGGGTGACCACAACAGGAGCTGGGGTGACCACAGCAGGAGCCTGGCCGGCCCTGGGAGGAGTGGTGTGACTGGCAGTGGGAAGGGCAGGAATGTCAACCAAGCTAATCTCTGTTTAACCTAATCAGTTTGCACATTAGGGCTCAGCTCTTGATTTTTTTTCTGAGGAAGAATTTTCTGGCCAGTTGGCTGCCAGCACACCGCAAGACACATTTTTTGGTGCCACTCCTCTGTTTGTGGTCATGCAGGAGTGACGCCAGCTTGCATTTACATCTGGGAGATGTGAAAACCAGTACACAGACAGAAAACTGGGCACCTGGTTTGTATAATCACCATCCTAGCAGTGATTGGGATAAACTGCTGCAAATGTCCCAGCAGTAAATTTAAGTGACTTCTGAAAAGAAACACTCAAATAAAAAACCCTTGGGTTGGACTCAGTACTCCTTTTCCACTCCTGTGCTAAGGCTGTTGCCAGCAGGATCCAATCTTTTTTACTGGAACTGCTTTTTCTGGTTCCCAGAGACCGGTTGGATCCCTTCACCTCTCCTCCCTCACCCACCAGACCTGCTAAAGGAAGGAAGAGTCTCAACCAAACCAGTTTAAAACCCGCAGGAGCCGCATGCCTCTTGTCTCCCCTTGCTGGCAGGAGCACCAGCCTTGCTCTTTTCATGGTAGAATAAATAAATCTGTGGTGTTGGGATGTCAGCTGCAGCAGGGTTGGACCTCCAGGAGAGATGCAGGGAGCCATCTGCCAAAAATGGGGTTGTGGGCATGGAGGTTTCAGGAAAGAATCAGGGAGAGACCCCTCAAAATAGCCATTATTTAATTTTTTGGGCAAAGCATTGCCCTCACATGCCTGTGTAGTTTGTGGCCAGCTGAAGCTTTTGTCCCTTGTTGGTGAATAGCTTCTGCCAAAAACTAAATACAGAGAAGCAGCAAAAAGGGAAGAAAAAGACCAAGCTGGGGAGGGGGTGGATGGGACATTTCTTCAAGGCTGGCAGGTTGAGACAAGCCCCGGTGAATAGAAAAGTAAATGAATAGAAAAGTAAACTAATAGAAAAGTAAATGGGACTGGTCAGAGCACAGAGTGAATGGCTGCAGGGTCTCCCATAATGTCACATCATGTCCCAGCTTGTTACAGGCAGAAAATTATTGTGTAGCTCCATGTCCAGCACTCAGGAACATGGCATACTTTCCCAAACTGGTGGTCTGGTCTGTTTCAGAAATTATTCAGAATGTAGAGATTTCTGTAGTTCCAAATGCTTAATGCCAGGCCTCTGCAGGGCACGGCTAAGGAAGAAAATAAAAACAAGAAACCGGGGGAAATGATCCTTAGGAGGAGAGACAGCAGCTGGGTAGGAGCATCCCAAGACCTTCCCCCATCCTGCATCTCCCAGAGCATGGCACTCAATTTGGAAGCTTCCTGGGCATCAGAGAGGACACAGATAATCCAGTCTGGCGCCAAGGTCGAGTAAGGAAGGAATTCACCTCGCCCAATTCTTTGCTGCAGGACACAGCAATGTAGGTCTCCACCTCCTCCCTCCAGGCTGAGCTCAGATGCATCACAAGGGAGACATGCACTCTTTGCAGGGTGATAATTCTTTTAAATACTCCTGTCTGATCTCCTTCCTGCTCTTCAGAGCTACCAGCAGAGGAAGGCAGTAGATGATGATACTGAATTATCTCTGCCTCCCACGCAGGCTAGCTTTTCTAAGGCAAAAAAAAATTAATCAGGGGGGTGAAAAATGTACAACTGAGAGTTTCTTGTAGCCAATGGTGTAAATGGAGAGGGTGGCATGTTTGAAAGATTTTGGGGGATGCAGATATCCCAAACCAAGGATGGCTATCACTCCTCACCCCTCCTTTTGCATCTGACAGAGGAACTAATGAGCTCCTGGTCTCCAGGCATTGTCATGGAACCAACACTAGCGCTGGCCCACAAAATTCAGAGCTAGGAGGGTCTGGGGGCTCAGTGGGAGTGCAACACTGCCCAGACCCAGTCTGAGAGCATGGACCACTCCTCTGGAATAATGAGAACTTGGCCAGACCCTGAAGAGGGTCACAGCAGCTTCTTGAAGTATGTTAAGACATTATTAAGTTCAGCGTCTGATGTAGTTCATGAATAAAACCTGAACCCTCTGTGATTTCTCATGCTCAAAATTTAATCTGAAATGACAGAACATTTTTTAAACAGCACTTCTGTCCAACACCCTGTTTACAAGGACTTAGAAGTTCATAGAATTTGCTGCTCCAGTGATTTTCAATCTTTTCTGGATCTGTGGACCCCTAAAACCTTCCCAGGACAGCGCAGCCCCTTGTATTGTGTATTTAAGGCTAATAAAATAGGTTTGCTAATAGTAGAAGATTTACTACTCCTCTCAGTTATTTTTTTCAGGATTCTTCAGGGATCTGAGGGCTCCCAGGACCCACTGAACAACTCCTGACCTAAACACACGAGACCCATCACATGAAGTAAAAAACAAGGGAGCCAAATCCCATCCTCTGCTGCCGGGTGAAGTCTCCCCTTGAGAGCCCCACCAGCCTCAAGCCTCACAGAGGCATTTCCTGGTATTTGTCCCCATGAAGCGCGGCGGTGTCACCGATCCGCATCGCTGCCGATGGCACGGCGCCAGTTCGCACCTTTGCTGCCCGAGTGCGTCACCTTGCTCTGATAACGTAATCTATTAACCGGGTTTGACTTTCACAGCCCGGTCTCCTGCCGTCCCTACTCGCCCACAGCCTCAGCAGGTTGTTTCATGCTCACAGCCCACGGGGACCTGAGGTTCTGGCTGGCTCGCCCCCAACTCAGGGACCGGAGAGCAGATACTCACTCCAGCCGTTCCTCCTCTTTTTTCCGCAGATCAAAGTCCCGTTGAACGACTTCCCAAACATGCTTGGCTTCTTCATCGGTGAGCTTGGAGAGGTCCAGCTTCCTGCCCATCTCGTCGTGGCGAGAGCCGAAGCCGATCCCGTTAGTCGCTACCCCGAGCGCTCTGTGTCCCGTACCCTGGGATGCTGCTGACGAAGGGGGAAGAGCCCAGCCCCACCTCCGCGGCTGCCCATATAACCGGGCAGGGGCAGAGCTGCGGGCAGGCCAGCCGGCTCCTGGCAGCACCGCAGCCGCTCTGCCGGGCGAGCCTACCCGCGGAGCCGGCCGCCGAGCAGGGCTGGCACGCTGCCTATCGGCTGCGGGGACTCCTCGCCAGCCGGGAGGGCGGCCCTGCCTTCCCCCGGGGTCCTGCCCGCAGCTGCAGCCGCTGCAGACCTCGCCCGCCCGGCTGGGGCTACGGGAGATGTTTACTCTCCGCCTGCTCGATGCAGGGTGTGCGAATGAAAGGGAGCCTTCAAACGCCTCCCCGGAGAAGGCAAGCTTTGGGAGGGAGCTGAGCATCCCCGGGAGGCGCCGCGCTCCCGGGAGGACCGGCTCCATCGCGGTGGCTCCTGCCCCGCCAGGATGCTGTGATTCCCGCTCTTCTGTGTCTGATCTCGTTACACAAATTTTGCCCCCACCAGCAGTTTGTAAGGAAAACTTAAGCGCATCTGGCTTCCCCCCCACATCAGAGACTGGAGTCCTGCATTGCTCTCACGGCAATTTGGACAGCTGAGCTTTGCTTGTGGCAAACAGCTTAATTAGGACGCAGCACTTCCCTCGTTTGCCGTGAGCAAGAAAAGACGGTTTGACAGGATCTTAAGAGAAGTGCTAAATACATTACATAGCCAAAGAAATATAACTTGCAATATATATATCTGACTACTGAGGCTATGCTCTTGCTCACTGAAACACTCCCTCTGTGTCTAGGGATATTAAAGTAAACCCATTTCTCACCTTCATCAGAGCAAACATTGATGGTACTTTTTAAATTTTTTTTTTCTTTTTTTCCCTTCCTGACAGGAATATAAACAGGGAACAAGATGGCAAGACTGAAGAGGAAAACTATCCCTGCTGCCCGCCCAGGGGTACAGGGAATTATCCACCCTGGTAACTCACTTGAAACAAAGATTAGATTAAACTCTGTGAACAGAGCCAGAAAAGCATTTCGAATCCAAATTAGGATGCATTTTGTGCAGGAAAGGTGATGACTACAGATGCAGCGTTTGAGCTTGGATATCGGGAGTGCATGATCTTCTCTGGAAGCCAGAAATTGATTTCCAGCTCCTCGTCCAGCAGAGGTCCCGACAAAAGTAATCAGTTTATTGGCAGGAGCCAGACAGGAGCAGGTCCTTATGTAAGCGTATTTGAGAGCCCTTGCGCCCCACTGCACCCGAACAGGGAGCGGTCAATAGCTACTAATTAACATCACAACGAGCCCCTGTTCCACGGCCTCCCGCTACAATCACGCCAGGAGCTCCGACCGCCCCACATCCCAACACACTCTCCTCCAAAAGGATAAAGAGGTTGCGTTAAATCAGGAAGATGTGGCCTACTATGCAATGAAAATGTGAAAAATGCCAGGGTTCAGCAGTGCCAGTGCCCCCTAAAAAGGGCTGGCTTAGCCAGAAAACCACCTCAAGGGAAATGTCCCGGGTGCAGGAATAAATTCAAAGTATTCTGTTGGCAAAGGGCTGTCTGGGAACAGAGTGTCTTTAGGAAAACTCCCCTCCCTCAGCTCCCTGGTGTGTATAACAGCAAAGATAGAATTATTTTCTTTTTTTTTTCCCCCTCTTTCAAAGCAATTTCTGGATTTTGTAGCAGTTCAGACCCAGTAATCATCACCTTCCAGCGATCCTCTGCCTTGAGGACAATTAAACTTGCCCACCCACAGCTCCCTCCCTGTGAGTAAAGGCTCCCAAATCTTACAAACTCATGCAAAAGGAAAAAAAAACCCCAAAAACTCCACACCCAGAACCACTCAGGCAGACACTGTCACATGGAAGTCTTAAAAAAATATGTGGCACTTGGGGACAGGGTTTAGTGGTGGAACTGTCAGTTAATGGTTGAAGTCAGCCTTAGAAGTCTTTTTCCACTCCTTATGATTCCAGGCTGTAGGGACAGATGATGTTATACATCTGCCTAAACCCACCAGCCCCTGCAGTGACCACACATGTGTGGGGTGGAAATCAGGAGCAGGGATGTAAAGGAAAAGTTATGTGTTTCCTATTAGTTGGAGGCTCAAATGGACCTTGATTCCAGTTGAATTGTGGGCCTGGTGGCAAAATGGGAGAGGAAAGTGTCATAAGCTCAGCCTCTCCTGGGAAACCAGGCATAGATGGATCCCAGGCTCCATTTCTGATTTTCATTATTGCCACATGAGGAAAAGAATGGCTTTCTGGGGTATCATTAAGAGAAATGCACTTCTAGCTGCAGGGCCACTCTTTAAAAAACAACAGTCATATGAGCTGTTATCTTTGCAGTTCTTGGTAATCATTTGTAAGACAACTGTGTACTGATATATGGGACATGTGGCCTGGCCCTTCTCCAGCCATTCATTTCACACTGTTTTAATTGATAACTGGAAGTAAATCCATAATCAGAGTTCAAAAAAAACGATGAGTGAAAATAATATCCAGTTGCTTCTAAAGACAGCAAACACTGCCTCAGTGAAGCCACCCAACACTCCCAGCATCCTCATTTTCTTCCTGCTGAAGAGGTCCCTGTTTGGTCAAAACAAGGGGCAAAACCACAATAATTTCTCCAGTACTCAGCTTTCCAAACAGCTGCCTAAAGTGCTGCAGAGGGAAGATGTGCTTGTGCAAGGTGCTGAAATGACCTTTGGGGAGGTGAATTGATTTACAGTGGTGTCAGCTCCAGCTTTGCACCTCATTCCATCAACACTGATGGGTGTTTTGGCCTCCCTCAATACAGGGTCATCCCAAACACCTGGCCAAGCTAGAGGAGTTTCCAAAAGCCAGAAGGAGTCGAACCGGGAGCATCCACCAGCAGCTCCAGCCCATTTCAAAGCCACAGGCAGAGAGGTCACAGGACCCTTATTCATAGGAGCATAACAAAAACTGGAGCTCCCACAAGCACATTGCTTCTGACTCCAGGAATTTCCTGGGTGCCTCTGCCTCACCCCCAACCCTCCTGCAATCATCTCTGAATCATGAGATCTCGCTGGGATGGCATTCCTTCTCCCTTCAGCTTCCTGGCAGCTTTACAAAGACACCTTATCACCACCATCACACTGGAGAACAAGCAGGACAGGGAGGGAGCATACAATGCCACTGCTATTTCTGTATGTGACTCACGAGGGATTGCCATGGGTTTCATCTATTAATACAGCAATTAAATTATGTTATGGCACGGCCACATCTCATTTGGACTGACCCCAACAGCCTCACTTAGAGAAAACAACCATTCAACTTTAATTATCACGGATAACGATGCTCTGACATCTGTAGCAATTAGGAAACTATCACTGAGAACATGAAAACAAAGTTGGTGTAGTATCATTTATGGGGTGGAAGCTGTAAGGACATTTTTCCTAACCAATGTGGATATTAGGGAGCCCTCTCAGCCCCCACAGCCTTCACAGACCTCACAGATCCCATGGCCCTCACAGTTCCTCAAAAACCCCATAGGTCTCTGACAGCTCCCCAAAGCCCCCATACCCTACACAGACCTTAGAGCCCTCAAAGTCCATATACCCCAAACAGACCTCAAAGCCCTCACATCCCTAACACACCCCAAAAACCTTAACAAACCCCATAGCTGTCACATCCCTCCTATAACTGATAGCCCTTACAGACCCTATAGCCTACACAGACCCTACAGCCCTTAGACCTCCCATAGCCCCCACAACCCCATAGGCCCCCATAACCAAATTATGAGAAAAGGGAGTAAAATCCCTCAATTTTAACCCTAAAAAGGTAAGGGACAACAGGGATTCCCTCTCAGTTTAAACCTTTAGGTGATGAAAATGGTGGGGGGTGGAGGGGTGTGTTGCCCTCAATTCAAACCCATCACATGGCATAAAAAAGATCTTTCCCTTCCCCTTAAACTGGAAAACGGGAAGTCCTGGTCAATTAACTGACAACCCTAAAAACACAGAAAAGGCAAGTTTGCCTTCAGTTGATAACCTTTAAACCACAGGCGAAGGGTTTCTCTGCTCCAGCTGAAACACAAATAGTAATGGAAAAGGATGTTTTTTCCTCAATTTAAACCCCTTTTCCCCTGAACTCTCTGCCTTTATTCTGGGGTCACCAGGATGGACTGGGGAGAAACTGGAGGCACTGGGATGCACTGGTGAGGGACGAGGAAGATGAAATTGAAAGGAGGAAGGAAAAAGGTCTTCCCAGGGTCCCAAATGCTGCCCCGCTTGTCACCCTCACCAACCACACCTGGGGCTGCCCCACCCCTCAGCACAAGGGGTGATGGTTTTAAACTGAAGGATAGATGTCAATAAAAAAAAAAAAAAAAAAAAAA